CATCAGTATCTGATTTGAGACAGGCTGTCTAGTTTTCTTGCATGTAGCTACTGATAATTTAGTTTATTATTAATCACCAATTTAACTATCTGCCTAGTTTTATTGCATGTAGCTATTGATGATGATTCACCAATTAAATTATGAATATCAATAAGTAATCTGTAGTGAGCAACTGTGGAGCAACTGTTCTTTTAAAACAAGGATGGATAACTTGAAGCCTTTTTTGACCGTGATTGCTGAAAATTGGTGACAAGGTTTTCCACCATTATGAGGGAAACTTAACATGCATAGAGAATATTGATAAGCCTCCAAACCTTTCCATAAAATCCAGGAAAACCATGCAAAGAATCTTGATGCAATTTACTGTGAAATCCACGGTAACCCTAAACGTGGTCATCTGCAAACAAAGGTTACCTTGCTTTTAAATTAACATGTTAAAAAAAATAAAATAAACATTGCTCCCTACCTTTTCCTGGTTTTTTTAAAATTTGTAAATATCAAACCTTAATTATAGCAAGGTAAAATGCCTTAATTTTGATTGTTCCATAATGTTCATACCACAATACATAATGGTTTATTCAATATTATAACTATTATATAATTAAATTAAAAACTAACCAACCACAAAAGTTATCTGATTACACATTTGAAGTTTGCAATGAAGCAAATATCCTGACTTGTAACCTGTGGAAAAAGTAAACTAATATGGTGGTTTTGTGCCAGTATTTCTGAATGATTGTATATTAGCCAACATATCCACACATTTGCTAGGATACAGTATCCTGAACCAAATTAGAGGCAGGTTTTGAAACAAACAAGAATGAATTCCCCGTATTATCAGAGATACCAACATGTTGGTAAGAATAGGACTGGGTTTTTTTGCATTTTGTATGTTGAATATGAGGATAAAGATTAGAGAAGAAACTATGTTTTGAAAATCAGTCTTTGAAGTAAAGTGATATTCAAATGTTTTCTTGGTTACTAACTGACCAAATAACATCTGACCAAAAGATAAGAGCAATTATTTCAGAGGTTCAAAAATATTAGAATTAAAGCTATGCCCTACAGCAAAATACTGCATGTGATAAATATGCATCATTTTCCAGTTGTCTCCCTAAGTAGTTATGCTGATCAAATAAATAGGTAACCAATGGACATAAATGATAAATGGTTGAACACAGCTAATTTCATTCATCTGGAGGTTATAGCATTATTCGTATAAGCATTTAATGTGTCATTTCAGGCTTCAATGCAGAACATAAATAGTTAATAGAGTCTGACAAGGCTTGTGCCTGATCTAATTAGCAGCTGAACATTGGAATAATAATCTGTGTGGCACCATGACGGTGACAATGTGGATTCAGCAATCTTAATCCCTGCATCTCACAAATTTAAGTTTATTAAGAATGCTTCCCATAAATCAATCCAAGATCCATAGCATCAAGTCTCATCTCCAGCCTAGCATCATGGCTAATAGCACTGGATAAGCCTTTTCTCCATAAAGGCATCTATTCCTTTTATAAAGCTGTCTTTAAAAAGGGTCTTTCCTATCTTTGGGGAGTGCTTATTAGCATTTTTGTGAATTAAAATTTTGTGGGCGTTACAGGCATTTCACCAAATGGGAGGTTGGTTTTTCACAAAACAGCTGTCATAATGGACAATTATAAAATTAATTAAAAAAAGGCTAACAAGGTAGCTGTCTGTTGCTGCCTTTAGGACAGCATCCATTTTACCTTTTTGTGTAGTTGGTTAGGTAATCATGGTTCCTTACATAAAACATTGGATGGCAGCCAACCTCCTTTTTTTTCCTAAATGTTTTTAGGCCTGAATTTTTTTTTACTCTTGGAAACATGAGGCTGAAAATTAATGCTTTGCAACATTATCAGGCTTTCTTTGGGCTTTGATTAATGAAGAGCAAGTGTCAATATTTAAAATCGTCCTCAATTCCATACTTCGTATCAAGTTCAAGTGAGTGAATATGAAGCAGCCTTATATATGCCAGAGAGGTTTCTTAGATAACCTTGGGTCAATTTGTCTCAGCCCAGCTTACTTAACAGGATTGTTACTGTGGGGGAAAATAGAAGGGGTGCGAAGTATGACGACTTACTTGTTCGTATTAAATAAAAAACCTGGACATTGGGCAGTGTTTCCCTTCATTAAGTCTGCATGCATTCTTAGGGCATGACATAAATAACTTTCTAAATTCCAACTATTTAGTATTGTTCAGATACCCAGATCTACCCTACAGACTTCCCTCCAATTAAATTGTAGCTTCTTTGGTCTGCTGAGGCTGCTGTAAGCACAGTCCTAAGTGTCATTCTATCTATACAAGAGGCATGAAACTGCTATAACCCTCAGCATTGGGGCCTTTCTTTTGTTGCAGCAAATAAAGTGGCAGAATTTAATTTTGTGTCCTTTGAAATACAGGCCTATATATCTCCAGTGAATATTAGATTGGTTATGTTCAAAACATTTTTATACCCACATTCCTCTGGAGAAAGATGCAGATATTCTGCTAATAAATGTTTTTTTCCATGACCATCAGCTAGAACAGAACATGTATGATAGTCCCACATTCATATAGTTTGACTCAACTATAAATGTGAGGTAAGAATAATTTTCCCCTTGCCTCTTTTTTCTGGAGTATTTGTTTAAATGGCAAAGTCAATTCACCCAATCTCCATGCCACAATTTTAAAGGCCACAACATAGTAGTAGCAAGTCTTTAATATTTTCAACGTAGCATTTAATTTTACATTCTACTGAACATAAATGTTGTTTTCTTCAACAAATTGGAGCACTTTCCTGGAGTTATTAATTCTGGCTTAGTGCGCATTAGATAATTATATTACACCAGTATATTTTGATAGGGATTCCTTCAATAGGCATTTACCTTGTTTAGCGTATTTATTCTTTAAAAAGAGAAACAAATCTAACCCTCTACCCATATTAATACATAATCACTGTGGGCAAAACTATGGAGTTACTACAATTTTACATGATGAATATTGCCTGGGTAAATTTTTATTTTTTTAATTCAGGTAAGCCTCCATCCAATTTCTTCTTGCCGTACCCTAAATGTTCCATCCTTCACTACTTAGTTGTACGTGGGTGATTTTTCAAATCATAGAATTTTCAGAGAATCAGATTTCTTAACATTGTAAAGCTGTTCTCCATTTCTTTCCAGTTTTCACTGATCACTGATGACTACATAAAAGACATAATGAACTGAATAGATTACATATCTTCTCTCAAATTAACATCACTGTTTGCAATTGAAAGGATATGTGTAGATGGGTACATGAAAACTTGGATCAAGCACAACTTTTGTGGTTAGTTATAGCACTTTCCATTTCTAACTAAGAAGAGTTTCATTGTTTTAAAAGTAGATTTGGCTTCAGTGATGTCAGGAAGCGCTGGCAAAACTGCAGCAAAATTCAGAAATAGTGGCAGGCTTACCTTTTTGAGACAACTATTATATTATTTGAAATTATTCTTCACCTGCTGAAAATCAAAAAGAAGCAAATTTTATGCTTAACGTAGCATTTATTATTGTCAAAAATATGTGTACAATAGAAATGTTATCATTAAGAGTGCAGACCCCGTGCTGAATGTTAATTTTCAAAGAATTTTTAAGCTGGATTTTTTTGGAACCGAACTATTGATTGCAGCTTTTGTAGTATTTCCTCATCATCTGAGAGGGGTTTATGCAAGACTGCTTTGTTTCCTGCACTATTTCTGCTACTTTAGAAACAAAGAGAAATTGGCTAATACTAAAGACGTACAAAATGTTTCATGCATTAATAACCAGCTTTAGGAGGCCAATGCCCAAACTGATATGCATGTTTTGGCTTGATGGATTGTGAATAGCAAACAAGAGTTGTTTTGTTTCAGGCAGAAATGATCTTTTTTTTGGGGGGGGGGAGAGAGACATGCAGGAACCCTGGCACCTGAAGGGAAGGCAAATCCTGGACCAATCAGCGAGAAAGGCAAACAAGTGCTACCTGCCATTCTGGAATGTCAGCAATGGCAAAGAAGAGGGAAGCGCCAGGGAAATAGGGACAAGGGCCACTGATATATGCTCTACTAGAACACTGGAGATGGCTTAAAACAGTGGTTCTCAACCTTTTTAATGCCGTGACCCCAACCGGTCGTAAGTCGAGGACTTTCCCTGCCTGGGAGCGCCACGCATGCGTGGTTCCGCCCCCCTGCGCCGGCCGAGGCGTAGCTGGCAAGCGGCAGAGACGGAGCAGGCCGACCACCAGCTGGCCCAGCCCAAGGGAGGTAAGGCATCCGCCGGAAAAGGGGAAAAAATGGCGGACAAAAAAAATGGCGGACAGCCTTGCTTGGCGACCGTGAAATGGTCGATAGACCCCAAATGGGGTCCCAACCCACAGGTTGAGAACCACTGGCTTAAAGGGAAAGTACTGGGAAAGGGGTGGTGCAGATCTCCCCTTTCCCTTCCTCCCATTGGCTGTTCCCAGTATGATGAGCTATGGCTCACTGGGAAGCATTGAGGGAGAGGAAGGGAAAGAGGAGTAATACATGCCATCTAACCCTATTTGGCCCACTTGGATTTTGTGCCATCTGAAACCCAGAATAACCAAAGTATTCTGGGTTTGGGTTCTGGCTAAACTGTGGGTGATATGGAACAGTTCAACAGAACACTTGGAATACAGCAGATAGTTTAAAACATTTTTCCTATTTCATGTATACCCCTACCTAATATGAAGAAATCAATAGATGCATCTCATAATTTACATTCCTAAAAAGGATCAGAAGTTTTTTTCTTGAGCACCTAATTACATATATATTTAAATAACATTATTTATTAACATAAGCAGATGCCATCATAGGACGTCTTGAAATTTAAACAGTCACCATCAGACCTTCAAAAAAGAGATGTTACTTGAGCTTTCACACCACAATATTTGCTTTCTTTTCCTTTATTTTCTGTCTCTTGTATTTGCCGAACATAATTAACTTATGAGAGCATTGCTATATTTGATAATCATTAGTTTATGCATGTATGTGCATACATATCTTTATGTATGTATGTACACAAATATATACAATCTTTATATAAAAACTACTGAGGCATTACAGGTCACACCACTGAGGTAGTACTTTCAGGATTAATACGCATTAGTCGTGAAACATTCCTCAGATCCTGCAACTGCTTAGCAGGCTTTCCAACACCTTCCTCAAATCTTTTTTCCACAACAGGAAGGACAGTTTCATAGAGGAAAGATGCATTTTGCCTGATGAATGCTTTCTTCTCAGGATCCTGTTCACACCGTAAACTGTAATCAACATGTTGGATGGCCACCAGGATGATCTCCATCAGACTTTCTAGCAGAACCATGTGCAGCTCAGGGAAATACAACTTGAGAGCTTCTTCCAAGAAAGCCATGGTCTGTTTCGTGAAAGCCACAACAGTGTAGCTAAGATTCACCCAGCAGTCATCTCCAGTGTACTGGTCAAAACTGGTCACACCACAACTCCTCATTTCCTCTCTAAGCTTCCCTAAGGCTTCAGGAGTCATCAGGTTCATTCTCCTCCACATCTCTTCAGAGTTACGATGTTTTGTGGCCTCAATTATGATATCTTTGTAGCTCTGCAAAGCCCCTTTGATATCTTTTACTAGTAGGGCATGAATAATGAAGGTCAAATCCAGACCAATGTTGCTGAGTTGCTTACAATGTTCCTTGGCCACCTTCAACAACAAATGACATGATTAATTAAATTAAATCTAAAGAAATTGCACAACAGAGAGATGGTAAAATAATCTTCCTATTGGAAACTAACACTGACACATAGCTTAGGAACATTTCAAAACCAATCTCTGCATAATATTACCGTGTGGCTCATTAATAGATAATTGTTTAATCCAGGGGTGGGCTACATTTTAATCAGCTGACAACTACATTTCTTGGGAGAATTTGCTGCAGAATGTCAATGAGGGATGTTAATATCTATTACATAATAGGCAGAAATAGGAAGGGAATGAGGGAAGGAAAGTTATAAATACTAAATATAATTTGAATTCAGAAGGTGGTTCTTTTCTACCAGGGCCTAATTCAATATATGGCACAAGTACTTCAAAGTTTGTATAAAGCTCAAAAGAGGCTTTGTGCCACTCAATAAATATGAACAGAGACTGCCTCATGTTTGGAGACTGCATTTCAAGATGCATTATTTCTTAAGTTTCTTATTCAACCTGCCCACAAACATATGACAGAAGAAGAATGAAATCTATGAACAGTTTAAGCTCCATTCTTGGCTTTTATTGTCCCACCTAACATTAAAGACAACGCAGATCTAATCCATGTGAACATTACTTATGCTAAAATTTAAGTAAAAATAAACAATTTGCTGTAACCATCTTAATTTAAAACATATAAATGAAACTTGCTTCATACATTTAAAAGAAACATATTCTCCAGTAATTTAAATTTTATCCCTAATGTTAATGCCAACATGAAATAGAACTGGATAAAAGACAAGTTTTATTTCCATTACTCCCATGATTTAGGTGAACAGAAAAGAGTAGTCTGTATTCCATTCCAGTCTTTTCAGAGATAAGAGAAAAAATAAAAACTGACAGATATATTCTTGCAACTTGTTTTGAACAGTAAAAAAGCAACATTATACAGAGGCTCACCCTTTGTTCTATAAAGCAAAATGTACTTTTTCAGGTAAGACAGGATCTGTGGTTAAGATCCAGCTGCTGTGCAAAGGCAGTGCATATGACTAACCTGTCTTTTCCAAATTTTAGAGGGCGAGTCCGTTTACCACAAGCAGAACTGGAAATGAAAATGTTGCTGTCTTCCAGCCCTTTTACCAACTGAACATAGGCATTTTGTTTTGTTATACAAAACAAAATGTTGTATGTGTATTTCTGCTCTCCTTTGTTGCATTTATGTGTATATCTGTACTAGGAGACATCAGAATAATCTCCAAGCTGCTGATATGACTAGGCAGGAGAAGGATTTAGAATTGAGCAGCCACTACATTCCAAAACACTGCCCAAATACTTCTCCATTAGGGATGCACTGACAGACTTTTTCCAGTTTTTACTCCATTCCCCTCCATTTACTTACCTTTACACACTCAGCAGCAGTAGATAAACTCTCCTTACTATCAAACACCTGTTTGCTGAATGCATCTACAAACATCCGCATGGTAGACCGGGCCCAGACCACAAAAGCTGAGTAACACCCACTGTTTCCAGCAAAGTCTGTCTGAAACTCTCTTGCAGTCTCTAACAGGCTGGTAAAGAAGACATGACAAAGTTTGTGAATATACAGCAAAGTGGCACCCTCAATGCGCAACTGTCGGATGGCTGTGTGAACAGCAGCTTCCCTATTTTTCAAGAAAAGTTCACATGCTTTAGTTGACTGGCCCAAGCGAATGAGCTGAGAAACAGCTCGTCGGGTAGCTCTGGGCCCTCCTCGGAGAGACCGATCTGGAGACAATTCAAACACAAGGACCTCCGTGAGCTGTCGGACTCTTTCATCTACCTTTGCTCGCAATTCTTTAACCATCTGGGTCACAGGTTTGTCACTCAGATATTCCTTCAGCTTGTCTAACAAATCAACCGCCCCTTCAAAGTCTCTCTGAGCAATGCAGACATCCAAGTCTTCTGGCAGTTCCTGAATCCATTCTAATGACAGATCCACCATTTCTTCTTCCGGTGTTGCCTTTTTTTCTTCCTCCTTCTCTTCTTCCTCGTCTACTTCAAAAGGATTTGTAGTCTCAGCAGGCACTGGAAGAGTCCGCACGGGCACCTCCTGCTCCAGCCTTCGTTTCTCACTGAGGACTCGGTTTCTTTTGGCCTCCTCCAGCACTTCCAACCACTCTTTCTTGATCTTGGCATTCTCAGCTTGGAAGATGCGACTCTCGGGGAACATAAGCAACTTGAACATATCCTTCATGGGGGGGTTGTCCTTGACATTAACCACAGCCAGCCCATCCAGCGGGTAGAGGGCATCGTAACGGTACATGCCCCGCCGGTTGGGCAGCCACGCCGCCACCAGCAAGCAGTCATTCATAAGGAAAGCATGCACTTTCTGGATCTGCACCATGTGGTCGGCGTCGTATTCCACCAGGTCCCCGTTGTACACGAGATACTTGCCGGGGCTCTCGGGAAGCAGGTCTCGGCAGCCCTCCACTTTCTCCAGGAGGGTGGTGAGAGTTCGCTGCCGGCCCTCCTCGTTGGCCGAGGCGTCCTTGCCGGAGAGAGGCAGGAAAGGGTTCGCGTGGGGGTCGGCGGCGGCCGCGGCAGCTCGCCGGGCTCCCGCGACAGCCGGGTCTTCTCGCTCGCCGGCATTGGACTGCAGCAACAGGGCCTGGGTGACCGTTTCCATGATGCCTTTCTGCTCGGTGAGGATGTGGCTGAGCTGGTACATCTCGCTCTCCAGGTAGCTGATCTCGCGGGCCGTCTCGATGAACTGCCGGTAGTTCTGGTAGACGTTGCGCTTGAGGCTCTGCGCCGTCTCCTCGCTCAGCGCCTGGATGCGCTGCCGGTGCTCCTGCAGGTCCCGGTCCCCATCCGACTGCTGGGACAGCTGCTTCACGTACTCCTCCGCCGCGTAACTCCCGGACTCCAGTTGCCGCCGCAAACGGCTAGCGCCACTGACTGCGGCCACCTCCCCCAGAGACACCGCCATGCCTGAGCCGGAGCAGCGAGAGACCCAAAGAGCAGAGAGACGAAGGAAGGCCCGCGGAGGAAACAGTCCGAAGAGCGCCTGCGCCGGAAAAAAAATAATAATAAAGAGTCGCTCGCGAGGATCTTCAGGCGAGAAGAGCCTGCGGGAAACGTAAGACGTCAAGGAACGGCGACACGTCGCTCTCCGTTTCGCACGTTACCATAAAATGTATCTGGTGTAGACCAGGCTTCAGTTCCGGATGTCTGGAGAGATGCGCAAGCGCGTTGCTGCCTCGAAGACTAATGAGAAATGTGACGAGACATGGGGCTTAGCGCATGCGCCAGATTGAACAGCCGCTTCCGGCGGGTGGATGGCGGCTGCCTGCAGCTCGGATGTCGCTTCTGCGAGGCACGATGGACGAGGACTTTTTGCTGGCCCTGCAGTTGCAGGAGGAATGGGAAACGGAGGACGCGGAGGTGCGGGTTCAGACGATCTCTTCTGATCCTCCGCGGCCACTCTCGCTGATGGACGATGCCTGGGAGTTGCTGGACCCGAACCCCGACGTGAGGGGCCTCTTTCTGCAGTTCAACGAGACCCTCTTCTGGGGGCGCCTGGCGGCGGTGGAAGTGAAATGGAGCCCGCGCATGACTCTGTACGCCGAAGAAAGCGCCGGGGAAAGAGGGAGGGAGGCATCCCTAAAGAGACGCCCTCCAGGGATGGTAGGACTACCACTCCCAGAATTCTCTGCTGCTTGCAGTCCTGGGAATGGTAGTGCAGAGAATATCGGGGGTGGGGGTGGGGGTGGGGGGAGGAAAGGCTGTCTCGCAGCCTTAGTGTCAACAAAGATGCCTCTAGAGCTGCTTCCATTGCGCCCCCCCTTTTTTAAAAGGTAGAGCACATCTACCCATTAAAAATTTGCAACATTTTTATCTGATGATGGTTTGATAGCTTAAGTTACAACCCTGATATTTCTGATTCTGATAAGCTTTCCTAGTCAGCCAAGGTTGGATTGCCTGATTGCAAGCAGGCAGAGCTTTTACCTGACAACCAAGCAGGGCATGCATAATCGGATACATATACTGGTCAAGATCAGCGATATCAGTAAAATGTTTGTACTTGAATCTTGGATTTTATGCTACAACAAACCAGCAGGATGAGGTAGCAGTGTAATTCAGACAGAACTGGGCTGCTTTTAAATACTTTTCTACTTCTCTTTCTTGAAAAATTGTCCTCTTACTAGAAAACTAGTAGATCACAATGGATAACTGTTCCAATCACATTCTGCTTTGATAGATTTTTGCTGTTGGGAAACAAAATGATAGCTTCTGCTTTGTCTTCTAGGTGTGCTGGAGTTTGCTGCTATGAAGGTCATGGTGGAATGTGCTCCATCCGACTAAGTGAACCACTTTTAAAATTACG